CAGTGCTTCTTCAATTCACGGTCTTCTGTTTCTTTCCATTTGATTTAACACGTCACGAACTGTCTTAGAGATTACTTATAGAATTGGAATTTTCTGATTGAAATTTATCATTGATAGCAAAAGTATCGTAGCAATATCCACATACAGTTACAGTTATAAGTAAGGATACAGTTGTATAGTATTGTAATGTAACATACAAAAGTATCTAACACACGCGTCACTTATTATTACATCTCTTCAGCCGATTTACCGTCAAAAGAACGTACTCTACCATCAACAATCAACTCTTCTTGCGTTACCTCATACTCTCGAAGCCACCCTCCGTGCATTCCTGGAGGATTTATTGCTGCCCCGATTCCAACGGCCGCGCGTCAATTAAAATATATGGACCAACCAAGCCCAAACAAACAACGCGCCGTATATATATTCATCCGTTATTCTACATTCATAAACGTCGGGGGCGCGAGAGCGTCGATCGTCGCCCGGAGCGACGAGTATGGCCATCGTTGTTGCCGCCCTCCATCAACAAGGAGACGCGTTTTTTTTTTTTGTTTTTGTTTTGTTTTTCATCTTCGACGAATTCAACTCACGATGAGTGCAATCGATGCACTAACTTTTTTTAATTGTCAAATAGTACCGTTTGAATATAGTTTTATGCATTAGAAGTTAGGAAGTATTTAACCCTTTGAATATCCGTAAGTCGAAGCTGGAACAGTTCGTTTGGAGGTTACACGAACAATTTGAGACGTTTGAAATTATATTATTGATTCATTTATGTAGCATATATCATACAAATAATATCATACAAATGTAGCAAAAATCGAAAAGAAAATGTATTATTAATTTGCTATATATTATTGCTTTGCATTTTTGCAAATAGAGTATTTAATGGGATTGTACATTATTAAGTTAGGTTATATTAAAATTTCGATTTGAAAGTTTAATAATATCGTGGGAACATTGCTAGGAAGAAGCATACTTATATTTTAGCAATCTAATGACATAAAGTTTAGAAAATCGATAAAAATGAACTTACTTCTTTCATCATACGTAAGAAAGTCTATCTATTTTACGAAAGAAAAAAATATCGATCATTCAAATAGTATCCTTTGAATCGACGAGAAATATCTATTTACTTGCAACTACCTATAATTTTCACGAATAAATAACATTTTATAAATGAATAAAAAATCCTTAAGACCTTACAAGCTTTCATGGATAATTGATATCCTAATAAAGGATCCTTAAGGACTTGGAAACTTGAAAAAAAGAGAAACAAAATTACGAGTTTTTTCCGGCCAGGCAGCCGTTCTCAAAACACTATGCAACGTCGAGGGGACGTGGATTGCACGACGAACTCCACTCGGAGCGACGAAGAAAGGGCGCTGTGCAACGCGTTTCACGTGGACCCTGCAGCGATGTGCCGCAGCGCATGCTGGTATATACCGCGGAGAAAAGAAGAAGAAGAAGAAGAAGAAGAAGAAGAGAACGAAGACGAAGACGAAGACGAAAACGGAGCTAAAGGAGGTGGAAAAAGGTGGAGAAAGAGGTGGAAAGAGAAACCAGTCTCCTTGGCCTTACCTTCGTCCCCATCGACGTCGCCAGGAACTCTCTGGCTCACAGGCTGAAAATAAATATCGCCGCGACGACGAGAACCTTCTTTACTTCTCGAGTTTCGTGGTTGATGGTACTTCGACCAGGGTTCTTTAATACTCCCCTCCTACGTTACACAGTCTTGTATTTATTGGTGTTTATACGGGCGGAGGTTAACGTTGCAGAACCCCGTGTAATGATTTATGTCGTCGAGGGCGAGCTGAAAATCGCGTAGTCCCGAGCGCAAGCGACTACACCGCGTCAGGGTGATGTTGCCGTTGATTTAAGACTGTCCTTGATACGATCGTTCTGATGGATTCTGCGCGTGCATATCGTGGGAAGGATTTCGTATTGTCGTCGGTAGTTATTAATTAGGTTTTGTTGTTTGCCCCGCGTATATTGAATTTATCAAGCCACGAGGCGTTGTTAAAATAATATAAAATGACTTGTCTAGCGAATGAACTCCAATCTTCGTCAAACTGACAAAGAGAAAATTTGACGTTATAGATAGATTATAAACGCGAATTTTTTTTTTTTGGTATTTATAGAATGAACTCTATATGTGGGGAAAGACCGACTCGCTTAGCTTGAAATACCAAGTAATAACGATATGCGTGTAGGCTGTATAATAAATCAATCTCGCCTGTTAATTCTGAACTCACGTTTTAAAAACGTCAGTGTTGAGCAGTACCGATAAAAAGATTCATCGACGGCGCATTAACATTCATTTATGTCATCTACGTCAAATATAAAATACTCATACGAATATTCATAAGAATTAATGTATGAAATAACACCAAAAAAATAATCGTTTAATTTTAACACGTTGATGAACCGTAAATCCTACAATCTCTTATAACTTCAGTCAACTTTGAACGGTAAAGTTAATTTCACCTATAAATTCGTTCGTGTCTTGTTTCACGCTTTCAAATACCTCCAAACATATTGCCAAGCTAATTCAGAACAGTATGGACAATCACTTACATACTCTCGAAACAGCGAAAGATTTAGTATCTTATAAAACTTTCCCTTGTTATTCTATCGTAATCTCTAACCTTCCCTCGTAAACTCCATTCCTATCTAATTTGTGTAATCTTCTTTTCGTTCATTTTCTAATTACTTCCCTACAAGAAAAAAAAAAGAAGTTGAAAAACCTATATTACTATAGTAGTAATGGTTTTTTTTGTTTAGTACGAAACGAAATTTGATAGGGACAACGAATAAATGCACTAGAACTTCATCGAGAAAGAATAGAATTTTATGGAGATTTAATAGGTATTCGTTATTGATTTATGTCTCTGAGAACATTGAAAAATGCTTTTCATGACTAGATGCATCGAAGATTGAAATTTTCTCTTTACAACGAATCCTTGAAACTTGCTGTACAAATTTTTTCCCGCGTCAAAAGCATCTCTACTCTCCCGAGATTAAGTAGATAGTTGGAACAGTTTAAGATATCGACAATTTTTCATCGAGTACATGAACGATATTTGGCGAGTGTCTATATTTCAAACTTTCTCTCATCCATCGCTATGTATTATATTTTCCACCCGGAATCGTTCCCGGAATTCTTAACGAAACCACGTATTCGCCATGTGCGAAGCGGAAGGATTTCGCGCAGTGAACGGTAATAGCGGACTTTGAAACAAAGCGAGCCAGAATCGCAATGTGTACATAGGCTGGAAATGAGTGCGGGCACTCTCTTCGCAAACCACCGACCAAACCTACCATCCACTTTTCTCATTCGTCGAACCGCGGCGAGTTTGGTTTTCCCTCGGTCAACGGCTGCTCCTTAAATATTGTTCCGCCGTTAATTGCCTTATTAATATATATGAAAATCATTATAGCAGCTCGGTTACCGCTCGCCAACGCTCGAAAACTTCTCGCTGCGTTCCGGGTCGACGGCCAGACCGAAAACAATGCCCAGCTAAATCAGCGTTATCGTCGCCAGCGACCAACCGCGAGGATCGATAAATTAAATCGAGCCGCGGTGGGTACCGCTTGAAATCGCGCGACCTCGTTAGAGGGAAAGTCTCGTGCTAATGTCAGCGTGTACGGCCGCTGTTTTGACTTCTAAATGGCGACGGTCCATCGTCGTGGTTTCAGCATCAGGGAGAAAGATGGCCGGAAACCACAGACAAGCTCTCGCACGTGTCTCTGCGTAGATTACGAACGTTTATGTGAGATTTGATTGTACGTAAATGTACATGAACTAATAAGGAGACAGAAACGTTAATGGAGTTTTTGGATAATAGAACAATTAGTTTCCTGATATTAAATTCTGTGTATCCAAATAGAGATTAACAAAATCGTCAGTCTAACGACGCAGACATATTTTCTTTGGTTGTTGAATTAGCTAGCTTCCTTAGTATAACCAATTCCGCAGAGTTACGATCTTTTCGTGTTTTGTATAGTCAGAGTCCTTCTTTTCAATGTAAAAGGCATCCTCGTCATTTTCGCTTATTGTTTCATTTTATGGAAGAATTACGTATATGTACATCTTTGTCACTCATAAACAAGATGATATTAAATATAGTCTCTTATTCTATCATTATTGTTCTTTAGTGAAATCTTCAACTTTTAATAACATAAATAATATAAAACTCAAATGGTAATCAATGATCATCACTTGCAAATAAGAAATATAGTTGCCACGATTTCTGGAAAAGTTATGCTTTCCTCGATGGTTTTTGGAGTCGTGCCATAGAAAGCCAATCGTTTGGAATTCAGAACGAGAGATAAGCGAGAGCACAAAGTAGGGTGGAAAAGAATAGGGAAATAGTAATATCTCACTGGAGAAAGCTAGTTAAAACGTGTGGCTGCATATTTATGCAGCGTTTTGGAATTCGTTTTTCCGATTCACGAAGTTTGTTAGCTACTATTTTCAAGCTTGTGGAACTCGAAGCTTGTACAGAGAAATTCTGCTTAGAATGGTTTTCGAACAAAATGTTGGTACACCTTATATAACAGTTGTTTCAGGAAAGAAAAGTACATATTGGATTGAGTAATAAATTCGTTCTCCTTTCACTAGTCGCTACGTTTCAAAGAATATTGTATAAATTATTTAGATATACGCATTTGAATTTTTCAACTTGTAAGAGATACAAATTTATAGAGAAATTAAAATGATAGATAGATTTTATACTTATGAAAGTAACAATTCGTATTCGAATTTTTTCGATAGAGAAAAATGTTTAGAGAAGTAGAATAAATACTTCTCGATTAGACAGACTTTACCTGAAAGTACACTTTTAAAAAGACTTGAATGAGCTCATTGAACAATTTAATAGTTGATAATTCCAGGAAAAGAGATTTTATTACTCTTGCGATTTTTATAACACAAAGATCTTTTTCTTTCGTTTACTATGCTAGATACAGGATTATGTTACGTGAATTTTTAATTACAGACGGAAATGTGAGGCCGACGGAAAGGAGGCGAAGGCGGAGCTGACACAACGCAATATGTTCCCTAGCGCTCAAATTAAAATGAGGTAAATAGAACCACGTTGAAGTTATACTCTTAAAGAGCACCACGTATAATATACTGTGAAACATCGAGAAAATGATAGACCTCGGTTGCAATTGAAATTCTTCGATCTTACGTAACATCAAACAATCGAGGGGCCTGTAACGAGGCTCACGCGAGCATATAAATCTTTGCAGTGGAAGCAGTAATATCTTCTCTCTTGGTAACTAATAAATCAATTAACCACGAAGTAGTTACAAACAATCGGACATTCAGTGGAGACAACTACAGAAATTCATTTAAAAAATTATAATTATTAAAAGAATAGAACTGCAAGAACTGTAAGAATTCGTTTACGAAAATTATCGTATTTTGTAAATGTTAAAATTTTTTAAATTCGGACAGTTGACTGCAAATTGCAGATTTTATGTATTTGCAAAATTTCGCAATCTATTTAAAAACGGTTAAAAATTAAAAAAAGACAATCATAAGAATTGACGTAAAGAACAGTAATTAATATTTTAAAAATTCAAATACCTAATTAACCCATAAAGGACCAACATTACAATAACGCAACATTTTATAATTTTTAATTATCCTTTTCAATCAGTTTGCATTGTTAAATTCTATTTTTTAATATCGTGTCTATGAAATGTCTATGAATAAGATCGTGTTTTTCCTTTTTATAAAATTTCAAAAAGTCAGAGTAGGTATTTACAATATCATGACAAATTGTTACTTGATCCTTAATGGGCTAATATCCCAAAGTCTTAGGACAAATAATATAAAATTATACAAACATACAGAATTGTCAGTATGTCAACAATTGCATTACAAAATACACATACAAATTGAAAGGTATATTATCTACAATAATTGCTGAATATTAAAAATAAAAGTTCTCCCGTGACATTTAAACGGAAGTGATCTTCAAAAATTTTAAGAGAACAATGTTTTCTCCCCAAAGTATCGGGGCAAAATCCTCGAAGCCCCGTAGAGAAGGAACAGAGCCTGATGGTGGCTAATGTCGAAAGTATCTTTCTCAGATTGCTGTCGCCAAGCAGTTCGCCGGCCACGTCGCCCACAATGTCGAATTCCTCGTCGCCGACGCCGCCGACGCCGGCTGCACCAGCTTACAACCAGAAGATGACCGGAATACCCTGCGTTGCCGCCGCTTCCAGATACACGGCACCAGTACACATCGACGTAGGTGGCACGATATACACGTCCTCGCTCGAAACTCTCACCAAGTAAGTTCATACAAGACTAATGATACAATACGTATCATTCTATATTATTCAGATACACAATTAGAATCCATTGAAACTATTGTACATATAGGTACATTACGTATCATTTTGGCAATTTTGATTAGACTGTGGATTTTTATGCAAATGCATATTTGGATAAATACAATTTAAATACATACGTATAGTATTAATAAGTATATACGTATATACGTATATACGTATTAATAATAGTAGAAAACATGTACTTATAGTATTAAAAGTAGTTAATAGTAGAAAACATGTACTTATAGTATTAAAAATAGTTAATAGTAGAAAATGTATATACATATAGTATTAAAAGATAGTAGAAAATTTTATTTTATCTATATTAAATATTGTTTCGTTTATATTATTTTTTTCCCCTTTTCTTGAAACTAAAACGTGATCACAACGTAAAAAATACAAAAACAATAGGATCAAATTTCGTTATTCTTTAAAATTAAAACGTTTTATCAGATGTGAACATGTTGAAAACTGATAAAAATCCAAGAGATAAGCCTTAAATGACTTCGTGGAAAGTTTTGCGAATCTCGATCGTCAGACACGTAGTTTTCTTTCTAATAAATTACGCGCTGAAAAGTGAAATCTGCGATAATGAATGCGAGATAGATATTTTTACGAACGATCAGGACGGTCAAGACGACATTCCGACGAGAAAGTTGAAATCGACACTTGGCCATTAGAATATCATTCCTGCAACTAAAACAGCAAGCTTAAAAATGGATTGGTACTAGTCGTTTATTTTATTTTTCGAAAATATGTTTGAAACGGCTTGGCTCCATTTAGAATTTTGTTATTTCAAAATCAGAAACATCGTACTTGGGATAAAGAGAAATGAGATACTTCTATCATACATGTTTGAAAATTTATCACTTTGAAATAGAATATTATGCTTGAGTGAAGAAAACTCTCGAGAACAGATTAATCTTTATCCATCATTCTATCGTTCGGAAATAAAATACCTGCGATACTCGGCTATCAAAGATGGATTAATCTTCGTCCATTATATTTAATAATTTGCAATGTGAAAATAAAATCTCGCGACTTCGCGTCCACCCGAAGACTATTTCCATAGTTCGAAGAATTTCTTCGCGAGAGAGTAGAAAGGGAGCGTGATGTCCGGATCGCGGAAACGTGACCATCGACAACGCTCCAGGATGTTCGTACCAGGCAATATCTCAGGGAACATATCGCTCGCAATCAGGCACACCGTTAACATGCCCGACAGTGTCCAAAGGCTATTTGCGATATATCCGTGCGCTTTATGCATAAAAGAGATGTAACGTGAAAGCACAACCGCACTTTATGTCAAGAAGAGGCTACAATCATTACGAACTATCCCTCTCTTGATTAAAAAAAATCTCATCTAACGATGCGTTCGTCGACACGACCAAACGAACAAACGTTCACTTTACAAAAAAATTCGTGCTCATTTAATGTAAATGACAATTTATTGCTCTATCTTCGTGGCGAATGAATGTGGATGAATGTTCAGTGGCTATTATTAAACTGCAGATTTTTATAGAATATAAAACACATAGATAGTTTTTAATATTTATAATTGGAATATTTAATAGATAAAAATAGTTCTGTAAGTAGGTTCCATTTTTAAATTGTATTCTTAAAGATGAATTTTATAAACGTACTATAAGAATGAAGAAATACGTTCACTCATCTTCAATTTTGCAAAATAATTGACTGTATCGACTTTCCGACATCTTTCCATCAATTTTGTTTCGTCGACACAACACGTAAAAAGATTTTATTTGTAATTCTTCCCAATCAATTTACATCACCAAATTCCAATTTTTTCACGACTATGCAAAGAAATTCCAAAGATTCGTTTAATAATTTTTCATCCTGCACCTAGGCTTCATAATTTTGTGAAATTTCCAAAAATTGACGTAACTGCAATATAAATTATTCTTTTTTAATAATGGAAATTAATGCAAGAATATACAGGTAGCCCGCATCGATCGAAAACATAATAAATCAGCAGTCCATCATGATCAACGTCAATAAATTTCGTCTTGAATCGAGCGTTCCTTTCGTTTCTCTCACGGTTGCGTAGTACGATAGTCCATAAAATGGCACTGCGATACAGTTTACTGTTAGCCGTGCTCATCCAACGATATCCATGTCGGTGCTCGTTACAATCTATCGTTCGTAAACTAACTAACCTGGACGTGGATTGATATCCGGAGCCTTTGCTAAACTTAAGAAAATCGTTAGTTCTCCGCACAACATAGAATCCAGGGAATTCATAGCAAAAGTTAATGCTAATTGACAAGCGATGACTTTCTATCGCGATGGTTCGTTAACGGAATCGTTAACTGAGTCACTGGAATTCGACTTCATTTTCCAGCAATGAAAAAGAGACTTACGAGAGAGCCCTATTAGGTAAACTGATTGCACGAAACAATAATCTTCACGACATCAACAAAAAAAATTAATCGTAGATACGTGACATTTTCGATGGACTTGTGGAAAAAGATATTAGAAAATATTGTGCATAATTAATTATTAAATTAAATTTTAAAATATTAAACTGTATCATTTTATCTGTAATTTGTGAATCATTCACATAAAATGACGAATTTCAGATATTTCATTCTTCTAACAACCTTTGATAAAATTAATTTCAAATATAATTAAATTATTTATTTCCATTAGATAAATTTAATTGTAATTACCTATGTGTTGTAATTTAGTGTAACGTGCTCCAATTACCTGCGTTAATTAACGCCAAAATAATAACAGAACATTGTACCCATGAGTAATTTATATTTAATAATATTCAACGTGAGAAAAAATTGAAACTATCTTTAGAATTAGGATTAAAACTATCTTTAATATCTTGGGTTACCTTGTTTAATCAGAACCATGCGAATCTTTACCACGATTGAATTAATCGCACGAAATTAATCGACATCGATCACTTTCCGCCGGTTTATATCAATTACGCGGCCACACTACAAATAAAATATAGAAGATAACAGCGAGAGGCATCCAAAGAATTTGAGAAGAAAACAGGATTTGACTCGTGTCGCTGTTGGTTTCGAGATTGATCGAGCCATCATCATTTTCGTTCGGTCAACGATCGGATCGGTATCGTTCGTTTGGATATTAATTGATGAGAAACGCTGGAAGCGAACGTAAACTACAGGCGAAGATAAATGTCGCGACGTGATGCATAAGAATCGAGAGAAAAGAGTGAAAGAAGTGAAGCCAATCAGCCCGTGGATATATCGTAGAAAACCGCCTGGCCAACCACTTCGTCATGCTCGATTGCACCTTCCTCCTTCATTACACGCCGTCGACCTTATTGTTTTGTCGAAAGTATCGCGAGATTGCTGTCGATCGTATCGAGCTGCTTAGAGAAAGAATGCCGACAAAATCTCGCGACGAGATTTATCTTAAGAATGATCATGCTATCACGATTTGTGCCACTGTGTTACGCCTCACTCCTTTTCTTCTGTGGTGGTTTTTTAAACATTATTATACACGAGCATGGTCCATAGTCTTCTGAAAGCAAGAAATTTGTTTGACTTAAGTTGTCGGTAAGGAATGTATTGGGCGTTCGGAAGCCTTGCGGAAAATAATTATTTATTAGCAAGTTTTGAAAAGGGAAAAAATAATAGAGAAAGTTGATCGGTAGAGTGCGGATTTTTATGCATTTATGGCAGAATTCACCCTTGTAACATGCAGATATGTAAGATAATAAGAACAAATTTCTACTTGGGTTTTATTTTTTTATTTGTCTACTTATCTTATGTCTATTTATTTTTATTAATTTGAATTTCTAGTTAAGAGCTACTAAGTCGTGATATTTAGAAGAATGACGTAATTTAACGATAGATTTTCATATATTGAAATAAAATTTTAATTAATGACCTATTGATTGAATCTTGTTTGACACTGTGGTCTCTTATTATTTGGATTGAAATTATCATAGATAAAAAGGGAAATTAGTGAACTTCTAGTAAATGAATTTCATTTTAAATTAACGAAAATTCCAAATTCCAGTAGGAGTTTCCAGTAGGAGAGTTGATTGAAATAAAATTCACAAGAAGGAAATGAAAGCATCATTCTTCTTTCATTAGTGTTTGGGGCATGCAACTTACTCACTTCCTGGTATAGCTATCGTATCTATTTTACATACGCTCAAAACAAGAAAGAAACGCAATAGGGAAAGGCAGTAAAAGTTGCGATCGTTCCAATGTATAGTGCATTGTATGATAACTAAGTTACACCTTTCACCCATTAGACGCAGGACAAATCGTTTCTAAAACATCTGACTCGATTTAGTTCACTTGAAACGCTTTAACAAGTTGACATTAACGTACGAAAAAATATTATATTATCGCAAATCATGATTTGAATTCTTCACGTTCAAGTGTTACGAAAGTAATTTTAAATTTTAAAAAAATATATATTTATGTCACATTTAAATACCTATTTATATCAATAAATATTTTATAATGAGAATTTTTAAATATAAATTCATATAAAAAAATTTCGATTCTCAAAGAAATTTCTTTCTAGAAGAAAGTTCTAAACTTTCAAGGGGTATTATTTATTTCCCTTGCCATTATAAAAATAACTACATCTTCATGAAAAATAAAAATCGTCGATCTGAGAAAAACATACGTATCGATAATAATCTCGCATAAGCGATTTGAAGCGGTGCAAAATAACCACGATTCTCCGTTTTACTCGCGAAATTGATTAACGTCAGGTAAATTATCGTCGACACGTAACAAAATTGCAAGAGATCGCACGGAGGATAGTCGTTTTCCAATCTGAGACACCTACAACAATTTATACGTTGCCGTTCTTCAAGAAATAAACGACAATGGACAACGGGCACAATAATGATTGCGATGATGGATAGATAAGATTACGACCACAAGCGAGTTACGACCTCGAATCCTCGAATCCTCGTTGGAAACGACTCCTAA